TCATAACATAAGAAAGTTGAATATAAAAAAATATATTTAAAATTTGTAAATATTAGAATAATACCAAAAAAATTTCCTGTGCAACTGATATGCCACACCAACATTAATTATCTCTAACTAATAGAAATCTAAACACATTAAGTAATTAGGTTCCTGGCCAGATTTGTTAGAGATTGTCTGTAGCATGTTTTATCATGCTAATGTATCTTTAAATTTGATCATATGTTAATTTTCTATTAGTTGAGTTATCACATGAAGACCCTTGACATGCCCTTATAATTGGAAAGTAGTGTGCCCAGAACCTGGCTACCTGGTTACTTTGCTAAACCACACAACCTTTGCATAATCCACTAACAGCTATTTACCAACCATGTGCTATGCAACTAACTATGTGCAACACCCAGTATTGTTCCATCAACCATCTATTAGTTGAGTGGAAAGAGTCAAAGAGGTTAGTTCTCCTTTAAGTCTTAAATTTGAGTATTGTGAATAAAGAAATCAGTGTTGGAAGAGCTTTCTCTTATAAGATCTGATGCGGTTCAATTCTAGATTACTCAGGGTCTAATATGGCTTTCAAAGATAGAGAGGTTAGTATCAAAAAGAAAAAAAACCTATGTGCAACACCCAGCATAGCCAAAATGGATGGCAGTGTAAGACCTTTGCTGTCAGCCTAGCTGTTTTCCTAAAAATCAGCCAATCCTCAACAGGGAGCTTGAGAGAAGTCTCCGAATCACAGGACTGAAATAAAATTAGTTTGAAATGGTAGCTTCACTGCTTCTAATTTTATTCACTGATAAAGCCCCAGATCAAATGATCATCAATAGAGATATAGAGACTCATTAATTAGAGTATGTTTGATTTGAGGGAATGGAGTGGAGGAAAGGGGAGGGATCCCTCCAATTTTTTTTGTAACCAAATAATGGAATTGTCTCCCCTCCCCTCCCTTCAAACCAAACACAACCTAAAGACACAACTCTTCTCACTTATAAAAGGGATAGAATTCAGTCTGAAAGTGATAACCAGAAGAAAACAGAACTTTTCCATTATCAATCCTACTGTGAAACACAAACATTCTACAATGTCAAAACAATGTTCAAATTCAGTTGTGTAGACCAGAGCAGGAATTTTCACCTTGCATTCTGGTACGGTCACATTTAAACGGCACCTTGGTGTTCTTCAATGGTGCTTTGCATTCCATCCAACTGGGAGAGGATGTATTCTATCTTCTTGCAACAAATCTCATTAGATATTCTGGGGCCGTAGTCACACTTCTCAAATGGTCGGTACTCGCAAGCACTTTTAATTTCATCCCTCAGTGTCATTTGGATGTCCTGGTTTTCAAAACGCAAACCACCACTAGTTCAGCAAATTTTCGTCCTTCAAGTAAACCAAATCACCAAGGGGATGCTACTATCATGATGATACTATCGGTCAATTTAATGTCATTTCCAGGAAAATTCATCTAAAATCAAACTTAAAAGAACAATCTTTCAGAAACTAAAGTCCCAATTAGAACACGAATTCTTTGAAATTGAAGGAGAAGATATGACGAACCTTGATGAGCTGCATAAACTCACGGCAATGGTTGTTGACGATATCTTTCTTGGGACCTGTAGGACTTGCTAGTTCATCCATGACGCTGCTCGCCAACTCCAAAACCCTAACCACTCTCTGCGCGAGAAATCGGAAAACCCAAAACCATAATTTCCAACTTTCCTCCGGCGAGAAATCAAAGAAAGGTACAAACCCTAATCAAATTTGAAGAAATCGGGGTGAAAACCACATACCTTCTCCACATTCTGAAGTCGCTGCAATGAAGTGTTCTGAGTCGGTGAATCCATGGAGCTCTTCGCACCTTCGATTTTGGTTCTCTCGCTGTTGACGACCACAAACTTAAAAAGTTTCAAAATTTTAAAATAAAGGAAAATAATAAAAAATTAAGCGTAAAAAATATAAAAGATAGAGTAATAAGTTATCTAAATTATAAGGTGTAATAAGTTATTTAAAATAGGTCTATATAAAAATTGAGATTTAAGGATTTAGTTAGAAATGAGTAAAATACGCATACTTTGTAATTCTTTCGTTTAAACATGATTATATATTTTAAGATTATAATTTTAATTTAACTTATTTATTATATTTATATTTATATTTTAGTAAATAAGCTTGAAAATGAGATGGACCAAACTGCAATATTTTAAACCTTTGTATTAAAATAGACAAAATCAAGAACATGCATTCGCCGCCTGCTCTCCGATCCGTTCCCTCCCCATTTAAAGAGAAAGAAAACTAGGGTTTTATTGATGGTTTGGGCAAAGCTTGGGTTGGGTGTCTTTGGGCTGATTTTGGGCCATTTGAGATGGGTTTGAGGTGTAAATGAACTGAGTTTCAAGGCTTTTATATGATTTTTGTAATTTGACCTTGGACTTTAAATTCTTTCAATTGAATTCTCTTTCTTGAATTTCTTCTTCTTTTTTTTTTTTTTTTTTTAATTTCTCCTTAAATTTTCTTTTGCATGTAGCACCTAAAAAAAGTAAAAATAAAGATATATTAGTTAAAAAAAAAAGAAAAAAAGTTCATATTTTTATATTTTTGTATTTGTTTTGATTTTTTATAAATTATTATGATTTTGATTAATTTTGTGTGTAGCACCTAAAAAAAGTAAAAATAAAGATATATTAGTTAAAAAAAAAAGAAAAAAGTTTATATTTTTATATTTTTGTATTTGTTTTGATTTTTTATAAATTATTATGATTTTGATTAATTTTGTGATATATATATATTTTGATAAAAATTTGAATTATGAGACTGGCACTCTCGGCAGGGTGTGGTGCTGACATAGCAGGACACGATTGGTTGAGTACCTCGAACTTTAACTAACACGTGCGGCAAAAAACTTCTACTCTCGAAGTCTTTCAGAACGACATTGTTGGTTATTGGTAGGTGGAAGAAGGGCGAGAGCTGAATCCATGGTGGCATCGAAGCTTCAAGCTCTATGGAACCACCCCGCCGGACCTAAAACCAGTGAGTCGATTCAGTTTTTCACTTCATTTCAACCGTTCTTATTCAATTTTCATGTAAATGAGATGATTTTGGTTCATTTCTTCGATCGGAAAGCAAAAATCTGGCTGCTCTGTTATCTCTTTTCTCATCTTGTTCATGATTGAATCTTTTTTATGGAAATTATGTCTAGTGTAAGATAAATCGCAACCCAAATAAGAACAGAAGTAGTTAGTAAAAAAAAAACTTTTTCATGTTTTCAGTTTGTAAATGATAAATTTGACCTAAGTTTGGGTGGAGTGGAGGCTCTCAGGCTGCTACCTTAATCTATAGTTGTTGTGACAGTTGCAAGTGTTCAAATGGAAGTGTTGAAAATTTGGGGTTATATATATATATAAACACAATTGGGATAAGATAGATTTGGAAACTTGTATATAAGATGGAAAATGTTGATTATAGGTTTTGATTTGTTTTATCTTTGAGTAGTGAATAAACCGAACTAGGACGGCGAATATCAAAGTTAGACTTATACTGTGAAATCAATGAAGATACTTTTTCTTGAGCTTTTAGTTATCCCTTTAAAAATGGCAAGAGTAGTCCTTTGTAATTGTCATGTGTAGATTCAGTGATTTTTTATTTTTTATTTGGTCAAAATCTATAATTTCTAATCAATGTTTTCAGTTGTCAGTCAATCAGACTGCAAAACTTAAGAGCTGTGTGTGTTATTGCAGTTCATTTCTGGGCACCAACTTTTAAGTGGGGCATTAGCATAGCCAATGTAGCTGACTTCTCTAAACCTCCGGAAAGCCTTTCATATCCTCAGCAGATCGGTATGTGCTGTGCTGCTATGATTCTATAGATGCATTGTTGGCTAATTTCAACTGGTGATGTATGTGGATACATGTGCATATGTATCATGTTTCTTGTAGGCAAACTGTTTTATGTTCAAGAATGGTTTTATAAACTTTTGGTTCTAGATTGAGCTTAAGTGGTTTTTTCAGTTTTCTCACCCTTGTTATTTTGGCTTCCAGCGGTTACATGCACTGGTCTCATCTGGTCACGCTACAGCACTGTAATCACACCGGTAAAGTTGTTGATCAATGAGATTAGCTGCCTCTAGAGATAAATAAAAATTAAAGTTAAAATGTTCCATTGCACTGGCTTCTGTACTATGACCCAATATGTATTGCCATTGGCCTAATGATGCAGAATGATCCTAACTACTGCTAATGTTTTAACTTAAATGATATCTGGAAAGATTAAAAGACTTCCTTTGTAACAATCTGAGAAGAACAAAAGATGAACCACCTTTCTCAATGAAAATGGATTTTTGATCCTCAGATATTTTGATTCTGAATTGCAGAAAAACTGGAATCTCTTTAGTGTAAATGTTGTGATGGCAGGAACAGGCCTCTACCAGCTTTCACGCAAAATTCAGTAAGTCAGATCATACCAAATCTATAATGATTTCTGTTCCTACCTGTTCCAAATTCCAAGTAACACTTGTTTCGATCTGCTAGCTAATGAATGCATATACTCCTCTTTACCTGTTGGATATGGTGTAAAAGGAGAAAATATAAACTTCTAGTGTCATTTTCAATTAAAATGATAAATTTCTCTCCATTAGATGCTTCAACTTCTACCATAATTTTCTGTGACTTGTCCTATGTGTTCTTTCCTCTATGTTCTTGCTTTGGTTGTTATCACCATTGGTGCTGCAGCTCTAGGACTTTGAAGCACCTTCTTATAATATTTTCTTTCTTTATTTTCAGGCATGACTTCTCTTCTGAGGCAAAGCCAGCTGTTGTAAAAGAATGATGACGAAAATCATCTAGACTTTCATCATGAATTGGGGCAAGCATAACAATATTTCCTTGTTTATTCCTCAATCCACCCTACTATTTGTGGAAATGCTGTACCCCGCACTGCATATTCAAGTGAACTTTCGATCAATAATGCTTGCCTGTAACGCTTTGTCTTTTCCATGTATGCCTCAATGCGGAAATTTGCCACAGGATATTATTCATTGTCATTGTCCCTTGTAGCAAATAAGTATTATTTACTGTCACCTTTCTCTCATTTGTGGTGTACCTGAAAATGCCATTGCATTAGCAAATTCAGCAAATAGCCGTTTCTATTACAACAGCATTTTGGTTCAGTTTTCCTCAGTTTTTCCTCTTTTAGATTTTTGAGATTTTCTACATCAAATTTTATTTTACTCCCCCCACCTAGAATGGAATTGAAACAACCTACCACCTAAAGAAACCCCTGCCATCATTGCTAAGAAGAGATTTTATACTTTAAATGCATGGTCCTTCTGGGTAATGTAGCTATTTCCATATGCATTAAGCAATGTGAAAAAGATCACCAAAAAGCTATTGTGAGAACGAAAATTTTCATCTGTTTCAGTTGTATCAAGCTAGTACAATACTGGGATGTCCGAGTAAACTAGGGAAAAAATAATGAATATTCAAGACAGAACAGATTCTGTGAACTCCATTCTCAATCAATACAAGTTTCAGTGAACTCGGCAAAGCAGCATCAAGTGAAAGTCTTTTAGATTCTAGTACAAACATACGCCATTTGACGCACCTGGCCTAAGACAACTCCCAGCTAGGTGAGAGGGCAAAGTGAAAATGAAAAATGGATCTGTAGATCAGACATAAAAATGTTTTAAGTTTCTTCTTGTTATCTGCATCTAAATATATGTTGAATTAGGCCTATACTTTTGCATCCCAGCATTACTTTGAGTTCACTCTTTCCAACTTTTCTTCTTCTCTTGATTGATCCATATTTGAATCTGGATCACCATCATGAGCTGTCAAACCCAGACTCAAGTCCAATGTGCTTTCATTCAGATCTTGTACTATTTTATTACCTTCCTGGGAGAAAATCAAAGTTCAAGTGAATGTTAGATCCAATCTTTCAGATAAATTAAATAAAAATTCTCTAGAGAAGGTATGAAGTTTGATGGTGTCAATCTTTACAGGCTAACCAACAGAAAATGTATATTTTCCAATAAGCATTCTGAACTAAATAGACTTTCTCTCATTAATAAACCTACTATTGTCTAAGTGGGAAGCCTGTAAGAAATCCTAGATACCTATATAACCGTAATTAGTTCTAGCAAGAGATTGCAAGTACCTTATCTGTTAACTTAGTAACACATAAAGCCTCTGAGAAAGGCAATTTATCATAATAGAAAGAATCATTCCTTGAACAACCCAAGGCAGGAGTCATTACACTCAATATCAAGAGTGAGAGACAGACAAAGACATAGAGAACCACAAAGACAGCAAGCTATTCACCTGATTTTCTTCCATAGGGACATCATTAATGTCAGGTTTTTCATCAAAACCATCACTCTTGGCAGCTGGCTCTGCTAAACTAGGGTCAGTATCACCTGGCTCAGTTTCATCCTCAGCCTTTTCTGCAGCTTCCTTTTTCTGTTCCTCTAAGAGAGCAATCTGCATTGCAAACTGCTAAAATGATTATCTATTCACAAATAAAAATGAGAACAATTAGAAAGCACAATCACCCTATTTTAAGAAGTATATAAGAGTCAAGTTTTCTGGAACACAAAGCGTTGGTTGCCAGCATTAAGTTCAAGGTTATCTATTCCAAAAATAAAATAGGACTAAGAGACCAACTAAAAGTGTCTCTTCCAAAAATTACAATAACAAAATCCAGAATGCCAACCCTGACTTTAGTTTGAAAAAACAGAAGGGAACAAGAACCTCAAAATGAACATCATATTCCAAAGTTGTCCTGGATTTACCATCCCTGTTCACCAACAGAGATAATTGGATGAAGTAAAAGATCACTGAAAACTATTAATCTGCTAACTGATATAGGCAGAGATACATACATTCTCCACCCCAACCCCCAAACCAAGCATGCCTAGAGTAATGTATCATACAGTTCATGCCAATATCAAGTGAATACTGAATTTAAGTTGAATGTATGACAAATATGAACAATGGATAAAGGATAACATAAAAATTAGTTGTCATACACTCCAATACCACATCCACTATCACTCAAATAAATTCAGAAAGAGAAATCATATGCACTTTAAGTTATTACAAAGCTGTGTCAAATCAGAGCACTCAGGCATTGATGCATTATGTTAATTGACTCAAATTCTAAATGGCTCAGAGTCTAAGTATACATCCAGAATCAAATGCAGTTTTACCCAATGAATGGTGAATATAGTTGCCATCCTGCTGCACTTCTTTCTAACACAAGATCCAAATAGTTTTCTGAAAATTTGGACTAACCAGTCTGGAGACATATCATTAATTGACATAAACAGGGTCTAAAAAGACTCCAAAGCTTCTATTTCAATTTCTAACAGTAAGAGTTATAAACAAATCATATACCAACCTGCATCTATATGTCAGCATCTCAGCATAGCACCTCAATCAATCTTTAACAAAATGTTGGCCAGTTGCACAGTATCTCATCTTGACCAAGCCCGTAAATTAGCAATTTCTCATCAAGTTCATGACTTCCTTAACTCTCAAAGATAAGGTGAAGGATATCAAAAACCCTGATGAGGATTTCTCTCTTCCTATAGTTTCAATTGTCTCAACTCTCAAGAATCCCCCCTAATCCAGATCTTTTTACTTCTTTTCCTCAAAACTCAATTGAGACACACAAGAATACTCCTATCTCTTGAATCAAACAGTCCACCCAACCGTAAAACAGTACCAACCCCAGAATCGAGACCACAAAATCAACTGATTCAATTTAAATCAAGTAATTAAGAAGTAATAAATTCAACATACGAACCAATAACAATTATTCCATCAAAATACCATCCTAGATCATGCCAAGGCCTACCAAGAAACGGACCGCACCATGAAAACATAAACTGCAATTCTGCATTTGAAACGAACGCAAAAAAATTGGAAAAAAAAACAGAACCCATAAAGTGAATTCACAAAATAGTTACCGGCATATATCTGAATTTACGTCTTGGTGGCTCTTCAGGCGCCACGACCGCATCCTCCTTGACAGAATTCTTGTCCCCACTGTCCCCATTGTTGCCGTTTTGGCTCTGAGATATCGGGGTCCACTTGAAAAGCAAAAGATGCGAAACGTTATTACCGTTAGACGTACCATTGACGCTGCTTTGGTGATTTTGAGAGTGATTGCTGCTGCTGCTGCTGTTGTTGTTGTTAGATGGCGAAATATGGACCCATTTCTTCTTCCACTTGCGCACCGGCCCGGTGAACACCGTGACAGGTCCGTACCGAGTGGAGGACCGCCCGAGTCGCGCCCCCACCCCTTCCATTAACTCAGTGGCGTTGGATCGATGACGATTCGGCCCTGACTCGCTCTGGTCTTTCCTTTCTTTGTTTTTCTCAGATCTCTCTTTTTTTCCTTTTTATTTTTTTTCTCTTTCTTTTATATTATGGAGACGTGTGTGTCTTGTTCTTTTTATGGGCTTTCCCGGAACTGGAGTCGGGTTCGGGTTACTACGTATAGGCGAATCAGAGCCGTTGAAAGTGTTGACTAGTTTTCCGATTTGGAAATTCGTGAGCTTTTTATATTGATGCTGATGGTGTAATGATTGGATTTCCCTGATGTCGGGAATTGGGAATTTGGATTGGCCAAAGGGTCTGATCCTGCCTTTTTAAGGAAAGGCACGTATTTTGGGCTAAAGTATACAATTGGCCCCTTATTTTGTTAAATTTGAAATTTTTAACCTCTTATTTTATACTATGAAATTTTTACCCCTTAAACTTAAAAGTTTGAAGATTTTAGCCCTTGACTAGTGGAATCGGTTAACTCTGTTAAGTAAGAAAAGAATATTTACAAAGTTAGTCTTCAAAAATTAAAAATGTAATAATTTAATTTTAAAAGTTTAAAAATTAAAAAAATTAGTAAATTAAAAATAATTAGTCAATGTCTTTATCATATACATAAGAATAATATTAGATATCTAAAATAAAATTGAGTGATTAGCTCAATTTAACAAAAAAAATTTGATTGAGATTAAAGAAAATTTTTTAATTATATTATTTTAGTCTCTTAGAATTTTTGTCTTAACTTAGTTAAATTTTTTTTAATCTTAGTTAGAATTCTTTTTTATAATTGAGCTAATCACTTAATTTATTATACATATATAATATTGTTCCAATATACATAGAAAATTCATCAATTAATCCTTTTAATTTACTAATTTTTTAAAATTATAAACTTTTAGAATTAAATTATTACATTTTAAAATTTTAAAGACTGATCCTGTAAATATTTTATTCTTATTTTAACAAAGAGTTAACAAATTTCGTTAGTCAAGGACTAAAATCCTCAAACTTTTAAAGTTAAAGATTAAAAACTTTATAACATAAAATGAGAGGTTAAAAATTTCAAATTTAATAAAGTAAGGAGCTAAATGTATGATTTAGCCCATATTTTGAATCATATTTTGCTTACCATAGATATAGAAATTTTTGTTATTTTAGAGAATTATAACTTTTTATATTCTCTCACAACGAAACTGCATCAATGCTTAAAAAAATATAAAATAAAAATATAATACGTAAGGTGGCAAGAGCATCTTCACCAATTAAAGAGTACAAATTAACGAGGACCATGAGCCCAATAAATACAGGCATTTGCTTTCTTTTTCTTTTTCTTTTTTTTTTGTTTATTTTTTTATTTATGATTAAAGTATTTTCAGATTAATTTTTACACAACTTAAGACTTATCTTTTTTCAAGTAATTTTAAAATTATATTTCTCATATCAACCTAATACATTTTAAAAAATCAATTTCTTTAAATACTAATTTTAAAATTTAAACCCTAGACCTAATTTATAAAACAACTATTATTTATATGCAATTACATAAAGAGAGAGACGAAGCCACTCAAGTCATAGTTGGATTACCTATTTTGTTGAAGCCACTCAAGTCATAGTTGCATTACCTATTTTGTTAAGATATGATGCACATATCCTATATGTTCTGTGCGAATAACTTAAATAATTTATAGCATTGTTGTTCTTAAGAAAAATAAAAGATTTTAAATTTAATTAACATATTATTCGAGTGAGGTAAGATTAAAAGATAGTATTGCTTTTATTGTGAATTAAAATAATAAAAAAAGTCT